GTTTTGAAGCTTGGTGTTACCCAGGCAGCTCAGAGGGTGTGCAGAGTGAGATAGGATATGCCGGGGAATGTTGAGTTGGCATATTCAAAAATGGATCGTAATGCAGTGGTTGGAGATTTCAGCTAGATTAATTCAGGTGCACACACTTGAGATGATGTTAGTTATAAACTGAAACAATTTGCAAAGGGTTATAGTAGGTTTTCCATGGGTGCAAGTTCTGAAAATAAGATTTGGTTGTTCCTCAATCTTGCATAAGAGGTACACTTTGATTTGAACAGGAATTAGTTCACATGGGTTTCCTTTGGCTTCAGTTTTACAGAAGGTCATGCTAAATAATGGTGGTGGTTCCTGCTGCCTTCAGAGCTTGGGATTTTGGATTCTGCCCCAAAATGAACTTGACAAATTGCTTACCAATTTCCTGGAGTTAAAAACCAGCGGCAGTAGGATGACAAGCTGCACCAAGGCTGGGTAGTCTGTTCCCATATTCAGCTCCCTGATCACCTCTGATTGAGGTGAATGAATTCATAAAACACACGCACAAAAGGAGGTTGCCAAGCAACTTGGAGCATGAAACTCCCCCACCAAGCTATGAAGGTAGAGAACAGGCAGCCGAGGCGATTTGTAATGTTCACTTCTTTGCTATAAGTAACAGTAATAATACATATAATATAGACCTATTTAAGAAAGGAATAGCTCATTGATAATTCTGGAAAACAACAGCTGGTCCTGCCAGACTGTGTATTTTGCCTCTGTCTTAAGACGTGTCTGCTTCTGGAGCACTTAGCCAAAAGCAGGGTCAGCAAGGAGACAGCAATGCTGGGCTGGGGGGGAGACGGGGAGGAAAGAATTATTCTATCTTAAGGCAAATGTGACAGACTGACAACTACTAGTGGAAAAGTTTTAGGAGGGGAGTAGAGCGTCTGACACAGATTCTGCCTCGGATCAGTCTCGTGTTTTCTGTGATCTCAGTATTTGATGCTTTTTGCAAATATACTTTAATATATTCATTGTACATCACACCATAGCCCGTCTTCTCTCTGGTTTTGTGTAACTATGCAGCCTTGGGCATATCAGATGTATCCAGGACAGGATGCAGCCGTGACATGCGTGGAAGAGCTACGTGATGGTGCTCCTGTTTTCCCATCATTTAACTCACAGAATACCCTGTAGTGGCCACAGGTAATTAAGTTGGAAGAGAGAGTTTAGCTTTCTTGGTTTCTGTCTGCTATGTCCTGTGGTAAACTTGAGCCTTTGATTTGTGTAATGCTCATGATAAAGTCATGCTGTATTTAGGTATAAGGGAAAAGAATAATTCTGTGTCTTAATGGCCCTGGGCTTGGTGTAAAGGGAAGAGAAGTATGCAGAAGCACAGCCAGAAAAATTCCAGTCAAGACCTGGATGTAGGTTGAATTTCTCGCATGCTGTGTACATAATTCCCTTTGACTCCTGATAAAATCCTAGCCCTGTGTTGTTTCAATGCCTGTCCCTTTACAAATGGCACAGCTCAGATCTCAGCTTGAAATAATTTAGAATATCAGCCCAGGTCAGGGCATTTGGAACTGCATTTCCTTTCCTTTCTGCCCTCCCCTTGATGAGGGACACTGCTGTGTTAATAGGGTTTTGTTCCTTCCTTTCAGGCTGCTCTTTCCCCAACTGATGTCACAATTAGTGACATCAAAGTCACCTCTTAGCGAACCTTAATGATGACATGACTGGAGGAGGATCCTTATAACAGGCAGGAGATTAAGCAGCAAGGTAGCGGTACTGGAAGAACAAAGCTCTTATTTTCATGCGTTTATCCACAGTCAAAATGAGTGAAGAGAAGGGGAGATGGGAAGTAGGTGATACATTAGTAGAATTATTACTCAAAGGGTTTTTGCTCAAAGTTTTGCAAGAGGAATCGGTCATGCTTTAATCTCTCACCTTGGGTATTGTTGGTGCCATGCTATATTCTGCGCATGTCAAAATGTAACACAGTGTAACGAGACGTGATCTGTTGGATAAGGCTTTATGTAGCATGAAAAGGTTCCTCTGCTTTCTCTTTTTATTATTTACATTCCCAGAGAAGGTTATGTGTCATGTGGGCTTTGCAGAGATAAAATGGCTAACCTGAGCTTTCTGGCAGCTTCCCCAGAACTTGGGGAGGGATCTGCCTAAGTGTTGGGCTGAGGATTTTGAAGACTTAAGCTTAGTTCTGGGCCTGGAAGGATGTATATGAGAGAACCTGTGATTGTGTGTCCTGATGATAGATATAGTGGGGCACAGGAGGTAGTACAAGGGCTCTGAAATAGCACAGAGAGAAGGGCAGCTGGGCACTACTGTAAACCAGTAAGCTATGCTGGGTAGTACTGAGGTGGTCTGGTTAGGACTGCAGTCAGGGGGGTGTTGGAAGTGAGGAGTGAAGTGAAGCAGCTGAACCGAGTGCAGAAATCCCACCTGGAGTCAAGTCAGCTGGAGTGCTGAGTATGGCCAGTGCTGCTGCCCACTGCTGTCATCAGCTCCATGTCTGTCACAGTTATCGCCATAACTCCAAGGCAGGTAGGTAACTGGATATGCTGTAAAGCACAGGATTGAGTGACTCCTGCCTGCCACAGAGTTAAATCTTTGTTTCCCAGGTGTTTCAAGGAAAGCAAGTTTTATGGCCGTGTCATCAGCTCTTTGCTCTATTTGCTGCTTCGTTAGTCTTCATGCTGGGCGCAGTCTGGGGGAGCGCAGCAGTAGGATACGGGATTCGGCTGCGATGGCTGCCGTGCAGGGAGCAGGCAGTTAACAAGCTCTGCGGTTTCCGTGCTGGTACATACCTTTGTTATGACTCTCTCCTGGGTGGGATGTCAGAGCTGCGGATGTGCTTGTCAGGAGGGGAGCTGTTAAAGGAAGCTTTAACTGGAATAGAGCGTTTTCCTTGGCTGGACCTACAGGCTATGGGCCCCTCCACTGTCGCCCGCAGGGAAACAATGTAGGTGACCTCTGTCTGGTATCCTCGTGCCCTCCTTTTCCCAGGCTTGAAGATCTGGAAACTCCAGAAGCTTTTCTGATATTGAATCTAAGTGAGACAAGCTTGACTTTGATCAGCCTCGAGAGAAAGAACAGAACTTGGGTCTCAGCTAGTCCCATACTATTTGCAATTAGCAGAATTATGGCAAACTTTTCCTGGGTTTCCAAGATGAGAAAACCCTTGCTTAGAGTTTCTTTTTTCTTATTTTGACTGAGGAAAGAACCCTCAATTAAGATGCTGTGCTCCATCCCAATATACAGAAGAGATAAGAGTTGTTAAAGCTGTATTCATCAATTGCAAAAGAGAACATGTTTTATTTTGCTTTGTGCTATTTACAGCTGTTGTCCATTAGGAGTCCTCAAGAGCCTCATTCTCAGCTACAACAGCACAGTCCCATAAGTTTAGCTCAGCGATGAGCCTGCAAAACAGCACTAAATCATGGTGATGGGAGAAAGAAGAAAATGTTTGGAAATGGCAAAATGCAGCTGACATCTTCATGAAAGCTAGTTTTTGCTTGTTGCTATTTTAAAGCATCACTGACTTAGCCTGTAATGCACAACTAGCTGGTGCAGAATAGAAATTGTGTACCCTGAATTTTGGGAAAAGAAAATCAGAAAGGCTAGTAGTTCTGCAGGAGGTAAAGGAATCTTTTGCAATCTGTAAGTGCTGGAGGCGCTTATGTATACACATTGATTTAAAATATACTAACCTCACAGTAAGGTAAGGTATGAGAATGATAAAAGACTTGCACATGGCTATTGAGGAACAGAGTTCCAGTTGTTTTACTGGACCAGAATATGATTGCTCTGTATGAGCTCTTTGAGCTGAGAGTGCAGTTTGCTCTTCTAGTGCCCACCAACACCTTAAGAGGAGAGTGTGGAAATGTGGAGGGGAGATTGTTTCCAAATCTGAGTGCATTCCTGAACGATGTAACTAAATTGTACTGCGGCGTACATATTGAGCAGAACTTACCAAATATACAGTTAAGGAGAAAAATCAGTGCTTGTTCCTTGTTTGACTGTGAAATGAGAAATTTCACCTGTATCCTCAGCTTGATGCAGCTTTTGCTTTGTCGGACAAACTGCTAAACAGTTCTTTAATAACTTCTATATTTTTCAGCATGGCATTCTACCTCCCTGTTTCACATTAATTAATGATTTGTAAAGCATCTGGAAACTGAAGGACAGCTTTGGGAGCTAAGGGCGAAGGCACCTAACTTGCTAATTCAGCATTTGTTTACAAGGACACTCAGCTGATGCCTTTGGTTTTGTTTTCTGTCCTGTCACCACTCCCAAGCCTGTCAGTTTGGGGTCCCTCAATTTACGCAAGGGAACAGAGCCCGAGCTCTGACGTTTCCTGATAGAGTGGGACAAACCTATCCTGGCACCGTTGTGATGCCCTGACAGATAACGGTTTCCACTGAAGTAAATCTGTCAGGTTGGCTCGTGAACATGACCTGAGATTGTGAATGCTCACAAAAGGATCATTTTAAGACAGATAATTGCTTTGTCCTTTCCCTTTATTTTCTGTGCCTGGCAGGTGTCTTGCTCTGCCTTCTCCTGTTTCCTTGGCCAATCCATGGAGTATGCTCAGCACAGATGGGATCTTCAAAGAATCTGCTGTCAAACTTGGTCTTTTCTGAGCATATGTATACTGAGAGTTTTTGGAGACTTATAACTAGACCAAATGTGGGTGCTTTTTCACAGGAACAGCAAATAACGTATCTCATAACAAGGAAACTTTCTTTCTTAAGTTGCAAGTCTACTTTGACACAGGTTCAGTAGAGTTAATCAATGAATTGTTTAGTAAAACTTTGATATTTATTTTTTTTAAAAAGCAGCTCCCCAGATCCTCTCCCCTACCCCAGATTCCCATAGTTTGTCTCCCATGCCAAATTTATTGCTAGAAAAGCTGAACTCTTCTAGTTACAACTTCTGTAAATAAACTTTGCAAATCTGAGTATGCTGCTGTATTATGTAAAACTGAAAACTGCTTTGTTTTGCAGGCAGTCGTCCTTATGTATTTCTAATGGCCCGTGTTCACCCCGGTGAAAGCAATGCCAGTTGGGTAATGAAGGGGACCCTGGAGTTCCTTGTGAGCAGTGATCCCATTGCTGATCTCCTGCGGAAATGTTTCATTTTCAAGATTATCCCCATGCTTAACCCTGATGGAGTCATCAATGGCAAGTGAGTTGACACGTACTTATTCTGGGGTTTTGCAGGGTTTGTCCACAGGCTTTTACCGCTGTGCACCTAGCAGATCTTGTCTTCAATGTTTTGGGTCAGGAGAATTCCCTTTGCCTCATGCTTTATTCATCCTGTTATCAATCCTGTATGGAAAATGTGAATCTGGGATACAGCCCAGTGTGCTGTCTTGCATTTGTCAGATGTATGTGAGTCTGTACTGTATATGGCCATAAGATCTGTCAGTTGTCTGGATGGAGTATTAGTGGTGCCAGAGAAACAGGCTCTTTCTTGATAAATGGAGGTCTATCTATTCTGTTAAAGCAGCAGGGCAGACTTTCCTGGCAAGACAGATATGCTTGGGATAACTGGCTTTAATTAATGCTTTGTATAGCCTGGTGGGGGGAAGATGAGTAAGGATCTATTAAATTTTCACATTTTCATGGAAATATTTCCATATAGTGAAGCTCCCTCTTTCTCCCGCCTTCTTTTCAATCTTCCCTCCCACATGTTTCCGAAGAGACACTGAATCTGAGCTTGGAAAATACTGATTCCCTTTTGCATTCTTTTGCCTTTATACCATCCCTGCCCACCCACACTAACTTGCTTCCCTCTCCCTGTACATGAGTGGAAAAAGCACAACTTTGTTAGCATGAAATAAATATTGCTATGTGGTCAGTGAAAGAGGAATTTCCCTTGAATGCTTGAAAAGTGCACTAAGGTAGGCTTGCACTTTGCTGGAAAAAATCTCTGGTGTCTCTGTGGACTGAGGAGCTTGTTCACTTTGGGTGTCTGTAGAGTAGCTGTAAGTTAATAACTGTCAGTCCTGTCTCTGATGCAGGGACAGGACATCATGATCACATCCCACTGGTAGCTGGTGAGATGTGCGTGTTAACCTGGCGATAAGGTCTTGCAGGTTTTGGTAGCAGCTGTGTCCTCTGGCTTGTTGCAGTAGAACATGCAACAAATCTCTCAGCTGAAAAATCGGCTTAGGCAAGCACTGAAACACACAGCAAAGCGTAGAGGAACAACTTTTCTTAAGCTATGTTCTCCCATCTTCTTTTGGGTCAGGCTGTGCAGAGCAAGTGCTGTAGAAATGGAAAAACAGTCCTGAGCAACAGCTGAGCTGAGCTTGGTTCTAAACTAATTCATTTCAGTTTGGGGTGAGGTGTTCAGCAAAGAGCAGCTTGGGCTTTTCTGACAGTCTCTAGTCTGTGACTAAGAACAGTCGTAGCTTTCGTGCTGCTACGTCCCCCAGGACTTGAGTGTATCGGTAGTCTGGGAGGACTGGTGAGAGTAGCCAGATGCTGCCCCAGAGTATTTGTAGCCTCTGCTGGCACCAAATGCTGCCTTGATCCTTCCAGACAACAGAAGCAAATCAGAAAGGCTGTGGCTTTTCCCCCCCCTTTTCTTTTTTTCCTTTCACTGCACTTAATTAAGTTGCTAGCAGATGGAGGACTGGAGGGAATGTCTGACCTTTTTTTCTCCAGCTGTCAGGAGTGAGCGTAGCAGAGAAGGGGCCCTCAGGAGAGGACGTGGCTCTCGGTGACACCTGGATGAAGTGCACTGCCTGAGCTTGTCTCACACAGGAAGGTGTTTTGCCTTCCCTGGTGCAGATGAGCTTAAACTGTAGTTAAATCTGGGCATGAGTTAGGAAGTTTGGTAAGCCTTGCGTGTGGGGTAGGAGCAGGGACTTGGCCATGGCTCCGTTACTGATTGTGAGGCCTGGGAACGGGAGAGAGCGCCATTCCTTTATGCTTTAATTTAAATACTTTTCTCTTGTGGCCCAGATACTTTTCTTCTTTCTTCCTATATAATTTTTAGTAGACTTGGGTCCTCCTACACTGAAAGAAACGCTTTTGTTCTGGGCCTCAGGTTTACCGGTGGTCTGCTGGAGATAACCATGCACATTGGCAAAGGCAAATATCTCTCAGGCCCTTAACGTCTATATTGCAGGTGCAGATTTATTTTGGCTACTTAATGTTCCTCCTTGCCCAGATTTAAATGCTCTGGTAAACTCTGTTATCTTTCAAGTCAATGTTAAGAGGGAAACTGTTTTCTGAGGAAGCTGGTCTGTAGCCCATCATTGACCATAGTACATGTAAGAAGATACTTGCTAAATATTTTTGTATATCTTTAAACCCACTTTACAACCCATTTCATGAAGCAACTTGTTTGCCTTGGGATTCACAATCCCTTTTGTGGAAGTCCCACCAGGCATCCCCGAACAGACTGTTGGAGTGCCTGGCGTTCCCTCTGCCAGCATCCCGACCTGCTGTTCTTTCCTAGCTTTATACAACATGCTGTGCTCTCACGACCTCCCCCCTGTGAGGACTGGACATACTGAATGCATCAAATCTGCTTCTGGCCAACAAGTATCTTGGGTCAGCGCTGGACACTGGGAATACTTACATGTGGTAGCCAGCGCTCTTATCTTTCATGGTGAAACAAGGATTTCTTCTGTTTCGGTGCCTCTGTTGCTTTCATCTTGGTATTTCAGTATCTTTATTTAAGAAAGAGTTGGATTTTTTTCTACTGGTGGTTCTTTGAATCTCCTTACTCTCCCTCCTCCCCAGCCCTGTGTGCTGGGGTGTGCATAACACTTCCCTGCCTGTCGGAGACGAATGCCAGTGCGTGGTTACAAAGGGTTTCTTCCAGCAGCCCGGCTGGCTCCCTACCACAGGTGCAGCTCAAGGGAAGAGTGCTCATCCCGGCAGGGTACCGCACGGTCACGCTTTGGGAGCCTCGCGCAGCAACACGACCATCAGGGCCTTGGTATTTGCTTTGCTTAACGTGATCTGAAAGTTACATGTGGAGAATGTTCCCCTAGCGTGGATAGGACTGCAGTAATGCGATTACGCTCCGGCTGCGTGTGGCTGAGCTGGGAAGCAGCTCTTCACGCTCCCTTTCACTTCAGTCAGTGCTCTGAGAATCCGCTCCTCTCTCAGCAACGGAGACACGTGCAGCCTTATCACTGGTGTTAAGTGAACGTGGTGGTGATGTGAGCGTGCGTGTACGAGCGGGGTTGTCATCACATAAAAATACAGATCGCTGCCAAATGCTGCAGCAAATTTGACTTTGTTCAGGCCAGAGAGAATTGGTGAGTGGCTGGCTGCGTGTGGCTGTTCTGCTCCATCCTGAACAGCACTCAGGTGGAGGGTTTGTCAAATAATATTCAGCTGATCTGATAATGGCTATATATTTTAATTTAAATAATAGACATCTCTTTTCATAAAGTTCATCTTACACTTTCTGCCAGACACTGGCTTTTGACCACTGATGCTGCTTCATATAGACCTGCGGTCTGACATGATACGGTTATTTGCATGTTTTAATTTTTTTTGTTATAAATTACAAGGAAAAAAAAGTCTTAATCTTCAAGACTGGTAGTGTAAGTCACTCTGAAGGGGCAGCCATATACTTAACAGAAAGTATCCTTGCAGCCCGACTTTATTTTGCACAAGTTGTTCTGTGAGAATCCAAAATAATAAGTGTTGTTTTTGTTTTAGGGCTCACTTACCTTCACCATGCCTCTAGCCTCTTTCTAAACTAAATCATAGTAAAATGGGAAAGTTTTAAAAGGAATTAATATCTATTAAGTGTTGGAGAATCTATGAAGAAGAGTATCATTTTCATTAGGAAAGTGATATAAAATGCAGCGGGTGAGCGAGACAGCTGTACTTTTTTTCCTGTCTCTGCTACCGATGGACTATGAGACCTTGGTCATTGCCCCTTGCTTTTGGCCGAGTTTTCTTCCTTAGAGAATGAGATAATGACATACCAAAAATCTTTGAGCAGTTTGAAATGAAGACTGAAATATGCATATTGGGAGCATTTTGTCTTCCATCTAGATCTTCTACTGTTTTAACTATTAAACTTGTTTTTGACTTGTAGAATGTGGAAAATACTGTTCTCGGAAAACACTAGATTTATGAGGAATGGTGCAGAGTAGCCTCTGGTGAAACTTTTGGATTGCTTTAAAAAACATGTTCATCTGTTCAAGTGAAATCTTTGTACTGCAAAACTTAGATCAATTATAGTCACAGTTGTGTAAAATCCAGAAAAGAGAGTTCAGTAAGGGAACCTCTAAAAAACCTAACTATAGCAGCACAAAAATAAGCTGGTTTTATAAAGAAACAGAACACTGATTGCTGTCCGCACACTGTTCCACATAAACTCATTATCACAATTTGAGCATCGAGCTGTGCGTGTGCTCACGCGTGCCGGTGCAGTGATGTGCTCTCATGGTGTCTGGTGTGCGCGCCTGCCGTGCGTCCTCCTCTCAGCAGCATCTGCTCAGACCTGTGTTGCACCTACGCACACTTGGTGCTCCCAGGCGTGTGCTTGCAGTCACAACGTGGTAGCCAACGTTTTGTGGTTTTTGGCTGGACTTCTCCAGACACTGCAGCTCTAAATAAATATTGCTATTTATTATACCTAAATTTAGGGTTATTAATTATATCAGTATAACCTAATTTATATCACCAAACCCAGCAGTAATAAATGATGCAAATGCTAACACTCAATGCTTGCCAACTGTGCCTGTTTGATGAGGGTTCCCCCCCCCCCCCCACACCCACACAATGTTACATAAAAAAAAT